CTCTCACCCTACATATTTTCTAATTATCCTAAAAGGTTTAATTGAAAATTAGATAAGGCAATATGAGAAGAAATGTTATTCAATCTAGGAGATAAGTTTCTTCTAGATTTCCTTCTATTTAAAGACCAAGTTTAAACCTGTTTCAAACCATCACAAGATATTTCTTTTTTTTTCCTCTCTCCCAAAACATCCTCTCACTCACGTAATATAATTAGGAGAGACCTTTTCTCTCTCTCAATCGCACCACTTTCTCCCCACCTTCTCTCTCATTTCTCTCTATCTTAACCATAGAGAGGCACACTACCTCTCTCTCTCTCTCTCTCTCTCTCTCTCTCCTTTACATTTTTGGTTTAGAAGAAAATAGAGGTGGCCTTTTCTTGGAGAAACCCTAGATAAAGGGTTTGTTGTATTTCTGAAGAAAGAAGAGAGAAGCATACCTAATAGAGAGAACTCCCAAGATCAGCCCTATTTTGTTTCCATAGGGTTTGTTTCTCTAGAAAGAAGTATTGCCTATAAAACTTCCCTATCCAAGAATTTTCAGCAACACATTGAGGATCGAAAGTGTGTCATTGGTCAAGAAATTGGGTGTGGGGTGAACTAAGTCTTGATAGGGTAACTCTAGGCATCTTCCAGTAAGTCTTCCCATTAGTTTTTATAAATTTCTAGGAACTTATTGTGTGCTAAGAATTGTAATAAAAGTTAGGATAAAGTTCGTGGATAATTTCTTTCTCTCTTGGCAGTGAAAATAAGGATCCTAGGTTGTATCTAGGGAAATGTTTTAATTTTTCAGCAATATATTGTAGCACATGTAAGTGGAATTCAGGTATTTGGAATAACAGTAAAAGAAATTTTTTAAATTTAATAGCTTGAGTTCCACATAGCCACACCTTTCATGTTCAAGAGGTCTATTGATGCTTCGGACAAGTCCCATGATGCAGAGTTCATTTTTAATTTGGTTGATCAATTTATTGAGATAGTAGAGGATAAAGTGGTCTAAGTTGTGACCGACATGTATGCAGCTAATATGACGGCCGCTAGGTTATTGATTGATATGAGGCGAAGTATTTTCTGGTCCCCTTGTGCAACACACTGCATAGACCTCATGCTTGAGGCCATTGGTAAGAGGAAGACATTCATGACAACGATCCAAAAGGCAAAGGAAGTCACAATTTTTCTCTGAGATATTCAAAGTTTCAAAACCTCGCATTTCCTTTTCCTGAGTCCAAATTACTACAGGTATTTAGTGATGAAGCTCAAATAGTCAAACCATTTCTTGGATTTGGGAAAAGTATAGGTTCAATGAACATTGGAAGTTGTGCTTGGATGTCTTAGTATATAAGGGTATGTACAAATGTCTTTCTGAAGAAATTACAAAGAAATAACTCTCTTTTACCGTTGGAATACTTGCGTTCTCCATTGCTACTTGCTGGACTTTCTCTATCTAGAACTGATTTACATCATATGTTGAGCCAACCAAAAAAACACCTTGGAAATTATCCACAATCTTGCATGAGATCTTTGACCGAAGCAGAGAGCAAGACACTGTTCTCACATTTGGAAAGAATCAAACTCGAAGGCAGGTTTCTTAGCAAAAGAAGGAGCCCTAAGGAAACATATCTTCACTACACAGAGTTAGTCAACCGAGACTGATTTGACATAATTCTGCAGCCCTTTTAAATTTTGATTTGATACAGCTCTCACACAATTTTCTACACACAAAATTACGGAAGGAAATAAGAGAATAGAAAATTTTCAAGAACATATTGATAAAAGATGATATTTCTAGCATCTCTTGGCTCAGAACACCTAGTTTAGAAGAAGAAGAAAGGCCAAGTGAAAAACTCCATTCGTGCAAGCTAAGAAACTAAGATGGAACAATAATTCATTTACAACAATCCAATAACTTATCATGTCAGATTGCGGAAAAATTGGAGTTATGGCCTTTCAAGGCCTTGACTCCATCTTTTTATAGCTCTTGATAGCTCTTAGGCACAATGGGAGTGACCGAGCAATGTGACTCTGACCAAGAGTCACATGACCCTGAGTGTCACGAGGAAGGTGTGTATGTGAGAGGCATCGAGAGGGTTGAGGGTTACATCTAGTCAAGGTCAGTTTTTTATCTATGCCTCGTGATTGTGTGATGGCCATGACATTGTGTATCAAATTGGTTGTGATTGATTGGTGGTGATATAAGCTCAAGTATTTTGTACAATTTTGGCCTTGTATAAGAAGGTTAAGGTTTTGAGAGGATATAAACTTAAATCCCTGACCTCGTAATCTTCTTATGGCATGTGCATGAATAGTCACAATTGGGAAACCACGCTTCCATAGACAATCCACTGAGGGAAGATATGCACAAGTGCCAAGAGAGAACCCCCACATCCAGCAAAGTGCATGTCCTTAGAGGTATACCTGTAATCCACTATAACTTGAGAGTCCCGAACCACATGTTAGATTGACTTTGATAAACTAAGCATGAGCCCCTACTACATATTGTTAGCCATGAGTTTGTTGGGTCATTTTGAGAAGGTGACTTTCGATTATGGGTCTCATCGAGTACAATGCTTTGATGCTGAATTTATCTCTATAAGATCCTAATTTCCTTCATTAATGGATATATGTATGATGTCCTATTGTGTGATTATGATGGAGTATGCTTTGAAAGATTTTTTTGGGAATTTTTGAAAAATTTTCTAGATTTTTCTAGAGCAAAAACTAAGCTTTGACTAATTGTTTTTGAGAAATGACAATGAAGGATTGTGTCCCCTATGGTCAACACGTGACACCCAAACGACCAATGGGTGCCACGTGTGGCAGACATGGCTCCATGACAATTGCCAAATAAACATAAATAGGGATGACATCACCCCCGCCCCCCAATGGGGACCTACTTGTCATTTATGAAATGTTAGAAATTGGAATTTTGAATTATGTAGTATATTTTTGAAACTGAGAAATTGGATTTGAGCACATGTTTAACGCCTAGGATTGGTGGTTGTGCACATAGGGATATCGTCTACTAGCGTATAGAGTTTGATATTATGATTGAAAATCTAAGCTTATATGGAATTATGCATATAATTATTGATCCTATGTGGCATCATATGATTGGATATATATGTACATTAAAGTGACCTGGAATTGGAGGGAATATCCAAATTCAAATTGCTTCTACAATGTGTGTAAAATAACCTAAGAGTGACGCCCCCATCTATGCTTCTTCATTTGTTAAATTGACATAGCATGGCCATTTGTGGAAGCAAGTTGAATTTGATATGAATTTGAGTTTGAGATTAACGTTGGAAAATTTGGGGCAAATTAGGGTTTATTAAGAGGACAATGGTATTAAATCTCATTCATTCATCAAGATGGCATGATAAATGATGAGTAGCTAGGATCAAGCCCCTCTCATACCACGGATGATTGACTTTTAACTATCAAGATTAACTCATCTAGAAGCATCTACTACAAAAGCCTATATATACCCCTTTGATCACAAGTTTGGGTACTTGATTTTCTCATGAGTTATTTTGACCCTCTCTTTCCATGTGTGGCATGCCCCCCACTGGTCACTCTCTCCCACTCTCGTTTCATGTCAATAAAGTTTAAGAGAGAGAAATACTCTTAAAGAGTGGCATGCCACCCTTAGGCTACTCTCTCTCTCTCTTCATGTAACATCTTAGTGTGATAAAGTAACAAGTAAGGTGTGAGGATTGAGAGAGAGAGATTGAAGCTCCATTAAAGCTTCATCTCAAACATGAAGGTGACACCGTCGCTCCATTGTGATTCGCATTTGAAGAATTCATCATCAAGCCATGCATCATTACAGGCTTTTGATGGCTGTAAACTGCCATTTACAGCAAGGTAACACATCCCCTTACCTCCTTGTTTCATGAGATATTGAGTTCTATTTGATCCTTAAGTATGAGCCCTTGACTCTTAGTTCATTATTCAATTTTAGAGAGATTTTAATTGAGAATTTTCAAGATTTTTATTGACTGCTTTCTCTGATACTCTTGGATCCAAATCAATTGACTAAATCACTCCTTTGATGATTGAATTTAGTGAAATATTAAGGGAAAACTATGCCAAAGTTTTCCAATGCCCATTGTATTTAATTCTTCACCAAATTGAGAGTGATTTCAGCCCTTTTCTCTCATGGAATTTTCCCACACTATGGATCCAAATTATTGAGCCTCTCTTATTGTTCAAATGTGCCATAAAGTATAGTTTAAATTATGTTTAATTGTTTCCCATTGAGATGATGTTAAATTAGCCTATCTATTGGTGCCATCCGAGTAGCCTTTCCACGGTATGTAGCTAAGACCTTGGCTGTAAACCGGGCAGAAAGAGCTTGCTTATTTGGCTTCCCATGATTAAATCTAATGTTCAGTTGTAAGTATTTGTTTCGGTTAATAAAGAGATTGCATTTGAGTTGTTTACTATAATTTCAAAGTGGTGTATAATTTGGTATTGTAATTGGTGCAGTATTCTATTTTGTAGCAATCTTGTATTTGTCTTGTATATTCACAATCTCCCTTGAGTTTGTGTTTGGACTTTTTCAAGAGACCTAATAAAGTTGTAATTTTCTTTTACGTGCATTTGAAGCCGAGTTTGGTGGCACGAAATTGTGTAACTGTCATATGTTGATGTAACATTCATGTAATTTAGCGAATTTTGTTATAGTAATGAGAAAAATGTTTGTTGTCATGAGGAATCTATGAAACTTACTTTGAGGCATGAAGAATCCATGAAACTTGCAGTAAAGAAGTTGACCAGTGAGATTCGTATTACTTTTTATCTCAGATCTTTTACTGTGAACATCAATTCAGCTAATATAGGTATCACAGACAGTATTGCAAGTAGATTATCATAATTCAAAAAGAAAGCAGCAAAACCATAGAAAAATGATATCATATTTAACAAATGCGAACACTTAAGAAATTGATGAACGTACTAAAGTAGCACGTCCGAATGCCATGCAGATGCTAAGAACACACCTGTAATTATCACGTCACGTAATCCATCTCCATGAATGAAACTCATATATCTACCACCAGGTCGTTCTCTTCCCCTTCCATATGAAGGCAGAGGCTCAATCAAGGGCCAATTTTGGGTGTCCTATGAATTCCAAAACGAGACACTGTGAACAATTCAATAATCAGGGCAAAAAATGAAAGATGTTTATGAAATATTATCATAAATGAGAAGATAGCCCTTGTAGCTTTATCATTTTGAAGGAATGAGAATCTACCATGTGTAGCTTGAGCATGGCATATCATTCACAGCAGAGTACCAAGGGTAGAGGAGACAAACTAGAGTTTAATATCCATTATTGGAGCTACAGTTCAACTATATTATCCCCTTTGAGTAGCGACAGCAGATGCCGATGCCTCACTAATTAATTGTTTATGATATCTACTGTACACAGGAGGTGTATGTTATATGTTTTTCCATTGAAGTTTATGATTTTTCTTTATATTTGGATTTTGTTAAGTTGCATGTGCATTCCGAGTTTGCTTAGATATGGCCCACCTAACCAATTCAGATTCATGTAAATACTTAACCGGGCAATCAGATGTTGATACCTTTGATTGATATAGCCTAATTTTGTGAGAAACATAAAGCCCAAATCTGAACCATCCAATTGAGAACCACCCTGCTCTATATAAAATTTCTAAACTTTTGAGTGAGCATGCATCATTAACTGAAAAACCAGGGATATTACCCATCGTTTCTCAAAGTCCCCACAATACAATTGATGGAAATTTTGTTTCTGGCAAACAATTACCATAGAGATAGCTTAGTGTCTCCCCTGAATGTGTCAGTGAAATATGTGATTATGACTTCAAATATAAGAGATAACGAGAGAGCTGACACATCAAGAGAACAAATTTGCCCTAGATTCCATATAGTGCATAAATGGTTTTTTTACGTATGAATTAGCTTCATGAGGAGTCCCAACGATTTCAATACCTGTTATAGTTCACATCAAACCAGAATAAAGGTTCGAACTTCGAACACCTTTGCTTTGGGCATGGAACCATATTACAGACTTTGGAAATAAGAATATACAGAGGGAAAGGAAAAATATTGACACCTAATGGCACACGACACCCTGTATATTTAGATATGTGCAGGGGTGCCATCCAACTCTTTGCTGGTTCCTTGCTTGGGCTTCAAGTGAGTATGGACATCAAGTGTCCTTCTCCCTCTATGTTCCACTCATTATAGAGAAAACAACACTTATCTGGGGTTTCTCTTTCTAGACATGTAGGATGAAAATTCTAGGGATGGGATGTCACTCTCTCTCTCTCTACTATCTTTATGGCAAGTACAAAACTCCTAGGATCAGTCCCTTCTCCACCGCCTTAATGGAACTTATATAGAGCGTACTTGATGATAACCTTGAACATTTCAGATCTTATCCAAAGATCACATGGTTGGAACCACTCTCTCAAAAAGATAGTTGCATGAGATAAGGCTCAAACTGATTTAAATTGAAACCCCTTCAAAAAGAGCTCATGATGATAAGTTTTAATCAAATATTCCAGGAAATGAATTTGGAACATGAAACAGCAGCATTTTGACTTGATTTGATGTGAGGAAATACACGGATTTAGCGGTTATTACTTCCTTCATCAGTTAAACTAATTTGACTCTTTAAACATGCTCCACTTCAATTGATGCCACTTTCGGATGGAGAGTCCCTTGGACCAGAAATTTGGCATCATGATAGAGGACTCAAAGAGGTATCTAATTGTCTCCCACCTTAAATGGACCAGTAACGAGGGAGATATACCCCATTAAAGTTGACGGCAGATCTGGGCAGCAAATCAGACCATTGTCCTTGCCATTGTATTATTTGCTCCATACACACACACACCCACTCTCACTACTTCTGCTAGTTATCATAATCATCTTTGCCATCATATTATTTGCTCCTCACACAAGCAGGCACAAATGCACACATGCTTGCATTTGTGTGTACCCACATATACAAACACATATTGGATACCTCAGGCAGTTGGAATCTTGAATGTTTCGCTACTCTCTCAATGATCTAACCACAAAAAACCAAGAGAGCAACCCCTACAGTCTCCTTAACTATTTAAATGAGGGTCTATCTTAAACGAATACTACTACTATACTCTTCATCGTCCTCAGCCTTTTATGACTATTACGCTTAGTTGGCAATAGCTAGACAGATCAAGACATGGTTTTACCTGCATGCATCTCAGTCCGCTTAATATTCGATTTTGGGTACACCATATTTTCAATCTGCTAGTTTCCTATTCTCATGTACCCAACATTGTGTCCTCAATCTTCTTAATCACAATTACTATTAAGGTTTATCATTCAGCAGATGTTCCAGCAACTAGTCCATAATCTGTTAAGAACAAATGGTACATGCAGCTTAAGCAGGCAAAACTTCATCAATCAGAACTATCCATTGAAACGAATCACTGTCTATATCATATCCGTCCATCCATGCGCAATTATGTCTTCCAAAACACACGTGTATTTCTAACTCTATTGCAGGAGCAAAGGACATATGATCTTAAAGAGACTTGCAAATAAAGGTGAATTTTCTGTCACCTAAGGATATTAAACTACACGCTCCCCCACTGCAAAGACCACTTTCGATGTGGATGAGAGGCCCAAAAACATTCCATTCAGTCTCCAACTTCAACAAACAATCTCCACAAAACCAAAAAAAGAGAGAAGATCCAAAAGTGCTCCAAATCTATTGCCATGCCAAACTTAAATTGGGGCTGTGCATTTTTTTTTTGGGGTAAGTAGGGGCTGTGCATTTGAATAGGAAATAATGTACAATGGATTGTATAAAATTGGAGTTTTGTGAAGCTCTAAATCAAATTTTATTTGGAGGATCACAATTTGGATGTGATTTGTAGATTTTCTTGATCCCTTCACAACTTCAGAAGTGATTTTAGAGGTGTAGCAATATTATAGTTTAATATACCTGCAGAAACACAAAATGTTTTCCCTATAAACAAAGGAAACTTCAACGAAAGAGTGATACCTGTGAAGCTCTAATGACAGCATCTTTGGCTAAGTACAGTGTCATATGGCTAGTGAGATTGAAGCTTCCAGTAAGCCACACACCAGGAGGGATGTACAGTAGAGTACCCCCGCTCCTACTCAAATGTTCAATGCGGTATATGGCTTTTCTAAATGCCAACGTGTTCAAAGTACGACCATCGCCGATGCCTCCAAAGTCTGTTAACGAAATAACGTCACGCCGATATCTCATCCGTACAATCCCAGAGCATGTAGTCACATAACCAGCTGATGTGCTCCCCAGGATACATAAAAGTGGCAAGACAAACCAGACGAATGCCAAAAAGTGAACCATTTTCTAAGGAAAAGAAAACAAAATTTGAAGTAAGCCCCATATCAATGAGTAATTTTTCTTTTTTTCTTTTTGATTAATATCCCATATCAGTGACTATTATACAATGCTTTTCTATTTTTAAAGTGAATAACTGCAATACAATGAGATTGCAGATTTTCATTAGCAAGAGTGCAGTTGGAAGAAATGGCAAACAAGCATGCTTAGTTGCAAGACCTGAGAATGTCCATATATAGGGTATAAAATCATGAAAGACATTGTTTCCTTGAAAAGGAAAAGAGAAAGTGCAAGAAACTCCTTGTTTATATAATATTTTTCTTGCTTCAGGAAATGTGTATTCCTTCAAAACAAGGCGCCAGCTACATGAAATGAGAGCATAACTCAAGTATGGAACAAAAAGAAAAGGATAAAATAACCTTTTGAAAAAGAAGGAAAAAAAAGGGAAAGGAGGGAATAAAGAGGTCACTAAAAAACATAGTTAACAATTAAAAAAGAAGAAGCCTGTGTGGAAGTAAGGTAACAAGCTGGGACATTTTTTCCAATATTTTTTAACTAAACAATATTTTGTTAAAACAGAGATATAGGACTCCCATTTAATATGATGCATTAAATTGGATGGAGGGCAACCTGAACAATCAATCAATGAAAGAAAGCCACTAATACGCAACGCTGCATCACCTATGCCAACAAAGGAAAAGAAGAATACAGATGGTCTTTCTCTCATATAATACACATGTTGATCATGAAGTCTTTTTTGCAACCATTGTGAAGCATATGGATAGCAAATTAAAGGCATTGTCGCGTGGACTGCAGGTACGATTCTTGGAGTGCAACAAGTGCCATTATAGATTATATAGCACTAATTATAATGAATTGAACCTCATTTTCCACTAATCTCTTTCAAACATGAACTTAGGATCAAATGGGACACCGAAGCCATTTGTCAGAAAGCTACATGAGAGTATTTGAGATCAGACCAGGAATCTCTAGAACTTATTGAAAAAGCTGCATTTGACAATTACTATAAAATGCCACCATCACAAACTTTAAAACTCCTTAAAGAAGTTGAGTCAAGAAAAAGAAGAGAGTGCAAGTGACAAGGATAACCTGGAGACGAAAACAATTTACAAAATATGAGATGATTTGGAAGCTAAACAACGTGACGGTATGTGGGAGAGGATAGAGATATAGAAGAACATATTAGAGGAAATTATTTACAATCTCAATGCCATTAAACACATCATGAAAAATTTGGTTGAGTCCGGACATTAAGAAAATCAAAAGGACAGAAGTCCACCTGAAAATTTAAGCAATCTTCTATAGGTATTGCAGCCAAAGGCCAAGCACGAAACAAGGAAAGAAGAATTTAGCCAAAGATAAGGAACCATGGTTGCATCAATAGAATGCCTGCGTGCACATACACAGCACAAATTTGGGGAATTATATCACAAATAATCTCAAGGCATTTCCATCATTTCAAAAGCAGATGGTGGTCAAACAGAATTGACACTACTGGCATGATTGATGCAAGGTGACCGTACACCAAAAAAGAATATCAAATGGCTATAAACACACAGAAATTCAGAGGGTTAAAGTGAGAGTCAATAACCACCCAAACTTTCAAAAAAGAAATTACACTAAACTACAAATAAAATATATTGGTATTTTCATGGGTGGGATTTCTTTGCCTTTGCCATATCTCTATAACTAAATTTATCAAAATGTAAAAAAAAAAATTAATAAATTAAGAAATTCCAAAGCCACTAATTAACTGTCCACTCTTCTTTCTAGGTGCAAACACTTTATTGTCATTAGTCAATTTTTCTCACTAATTACCATAGTAGATATCCTAAAAATCAATAATAAAAAGACCATTCACTTTTTTTATGGTAATATCTTAAGGACATTTCACATTGGCAAATAAGATGTGGGAAGTACAAGCCCTAGGCTTTTTATATTCAAACCCGTATTGTGGGTGGGAATAACAAAAATATTAATAGAATTTCTGATGAGAAATCCCTGTCGGACGTCAAAATTGGTGCTTCTCCTATACCTCAAAATGGATGGCAGAAAAACACATTGAAAAATGATTTTTTTTAAAAGAGAAAAAAATTCATATTAATATTCACCACAATTAGTTGAGATTAAGAAATCCCAAGATGCCTTTTTTTAAGGGGCCACACATATAAGGGGTGAGACGGCTGAGCCACCAAACACTTTTCCTTAATAGTAAATCCAAGCAGGCTGAGACCCAAAATACTCCAAGCAAAAACGAAGCTCCTAAGAAACAATATTGTAAATCGAACTTTCTTTCTTGACGTGTGTAGTCGTGGGGAGCGAAGGCACTACAGGGGATAGG